TAGTTTTTATTTATTATTTTAATAGATTTTGGCTGGTGAACTGCGAGTTGAAAACGCCTGTGATTTGCGTGTGCAATGTCTTATGTCACCCGCTTGATAGCCTTGAGAGCAAGAAATGGCAGAAAGCAAGGCAAGTCAGAGGAGTAAGCTTGAGCAAGGGCGGCAACTAGTTTTATCCCAAAAGGGCCGGCTGCTTCTGCCCATGTTGGCCGGGGAGGTACGAGCCAAGGCCGCGAGCATCCACACCTCTTTCTTCAAGCGTTGAAGATGGTAATATGAGTTCGTCTCGCGCTCAGCGCGGAACCCTGCACGCAGGCTAGAAAAGTGGAAGATCTCAAGAGGATTGGGAGGTCGCGCCAAGGCAGAGCCAGCCTTGTTGGAAGAGGAAAGTTGCACAGACAGTGCGCAAATGGATGTGGCTGCCTGGATGCAGTTGGTGGGCAGGCATGTTTCAACAGTACCTGGGCTAGCTGAATAGGCGCATTCGACGAGTTGACTTACCTGAATGGAAACCTGGTGTGGCGAGGAGGCTGAAAAGAGGGAATAAATGGTGGGTTGTCTAAGGCTCAGCGAGTACATACGCGGCTACCACCTTTGTGGTGGCTATCAGCCGTGAGCTGGGGTGGTGGTGATCAGAGCTGATCGTGGTTGGAGGAACCAACTTGGGCTTGCTGGTGATGGCAACCAGCCAGTCAGCGGCTGCATTTGATTCATCACAGCCAGGAGTTCGTGCAAGCGGGCGGGAGCTTGGGAGGCTGCCTCGCTCGGCGGCTGCTCTTCTCTGGGGTGCTGTTGGTCAGGTGGGGGTGGATACTGTGTACGTACTTGGCCGGTGGGTGGCAGATTGATGGTTTGAGTTAGTTGAGGCAGGGAGCTGCTGCGCTGAGGCAAGAACAGGTGCCAAACACAGCCCGCTGATTGGCCACCCCGGCACCCTCTGAGGTGCTGAGGAGGGGGAAAATTGGGTGGAAGCCTCAGGCAGCGACCGCCCCTCGCTCTGGGCACTGGGTCGCACCCGCCAGCGCCCATCGACCGTCCAAGGGGGGCCCGCCTGCAGTATCGATAATAAATACGGAGAACTGACCCAGCGCCCAGCCGCCTCCTCGCTCACGTGTTTTATTCCCTCCCTCTACCGCGTGACCCAACCTATGACCCCAAAGCCGCCTGCTATCACGTATCTGGGTGACACGGCCATATATCTCAGGATCCCAGCTTTTGGAAATCGGCAAATATCGCGTTGAGGATCGCCTTCACTCAGCCTCCTCTTGCTGTCCCCCGACTCGCGCACCGTTTTTCTTGCTTTTTCGGGGCGTGGTTGCGATTCGCGCATCGGCGCAGTACTTAGACGACCAAGACCCAGCGATATCACGAGTTGATCACGCCAAACACGTGAGAGGAGCCAAAACTCGTGATCTGGAGCGAGAGAGCACATGATCTGCCAGGTATGTCGGTTCCATGTTTCCTCACACATCGTCGAGTCGCCCTGCGCCCTCACTTAGGCCGAGGCTTTGCATCCGCATGCTGCCCGATGGTCCCGACACAACATAACACATCACATCGCATCACTGCGCTTCACTACACCACACTCCAGCGCGCATCTGCATGCATGCATCCCCAAATGTCATTTTCATCATCGTCATCATCATCACCAGTGCACTCAACCCAGCCCCCACTTGCTTCGACATTCGATGCCAAGTGAACGGGGTCTGGGCTTTCGCGCTGTTTGCACCTGCCGCCGATGGATAGAGAGTTCTCTTGTTCATCGATGAGGCAATCTGTGATTGAAAAAAAAAAAGTCCTCATTTGGGTGAAGCCTTCAGGGCGGGTCTGCACTTCTAAGTTGCATCGAGGAATCGGCACATGGCCCTACTTTCCATGGTCTTTGCTTCCCGGTGCATCTTCAGCAAGAAACATCACCCCCTTGGCCCGTGGATCTCAAGGTAGTCGTGCAGCGACAGATGGCCTGAATCACAAGTCTGCCCGTGGTGCTCTGCTTCATGCAAAGCATTGCCGGGCAGGTCTTCGGTTGACTTGGATGAAACCCATGCCGTGGCCGGCTTGGCGCATTCAATGTGCTCGGTCTCTATGTCTTGCCAGGCAGTATCGCAATCGAACAAGTGTTCGTGCGAACATACCTTGTTCCACATGATCTGGTTTCTAGTGTAACATACTCAACCTTATCATGTTCCATGGGTGTAACCTCCTCAGCCTGCTCAACTAGGCTGTCGATCCCAACAACCTCCGCTATTCATTTAGCTGCGTTCTACCTTTGCACTCTTATCACCCCTCAAGCTTATTTGACCCTGCCCTTCGGCCTCGATCCGACGTCAGACTCGTACCTCGTACTTCGTGAAATACAGTAGACGTCTAACATATCCTCTAGTTGAAACCACCAAAACGTCTGATAGTTTGAGACAGCATACCGACTCGACTTGGCAACAAGTCGACCGTGTGCCCCGATATATTCTTAACACTCATCTGCAAGCAGCCACCCGCCCTTCTAGACGATGAGCGACATCATCACCGAACAGCAGCCGGACCTTTCACTCCTCCCTGGATCCCCAGGCCAGAAGCGGAAGCGAGACCCAGGCAGCCCCGGCTCTCAGCGATCAAAGCGCGCCGCTCCTCCCGCCAACATGTCTGTGGCTCCAGGTGATACGGCAGCCTACATCGAGAGCGCCATCCAGGCCACCGAAGCCCATGCCGCCAATGGGGGCATGAATGTGGCCGATTTCAATGCCCTTCAGCAGGCTACCCAGGAGGGAAACGAAGTCTCAGATCCTGCCTCAGCTACGAGCACAGCGCAGGCAGCGCTTGGCATGTACCCGACGCTCCATGTCCCACCCTCAACAGAGGAGCAGTTCGCCGCTCAAACCACTGCCGATACCGGCGAGCATCATCACCACGATGCGTCCGCATTCAATCCTCCCGATGTTCCCCCGCCAGATAGTCTGATGGACGATCATACTGTCCATCAGCCTCACCAGCCTCACCAGCCAGCACAGAATGGGGTACAGCCTCCACCTGCGCCACGCTACGCGACCTCGCCAGCAACGTCAAACCCAAAGCCGACGGTCGGATCAGAAGAGTGGCATAAGATGCGCAAAGATAACCACAAAGAAGGTAAGCAGCTGTCCAGTGCCGGCAATCATCGCTTCGTAGGTTTTGCTAACCGGTCAACCAGTCGAGCGTCGACGGAGGGAGACTATCAATGAGGGTATAAATGAACTGGCCAAGATCGTCCCAGGGTGCGAGAAAAACAAGGGCTCGATTCTCCAACGAGCTGTGAACTTCATCCAACTGCTCAAGGAAAACGAGCAGCAGAATCTTGAAAAGTGGACACTCGAGAAGCTGCTTACGGAGCAAGCCATCACCGAGTTAAGTACTTCGAACGACAAGTTAAAGCAGGAATGCGAACGCCTATATCGAGAGCTCGAGATTTGGAAACGGGTGGCACAAAACGCGGGATTGGAGCCTCCGCAACCTAAGGAGGAGATAGGCGAAGCCGCAGCGCCAAGTTAGAGCCTTGCTACGCCCATTTTCCCCTTTGAATAAGCGCCGCACTGTAATCCAATCTGGGAGCTTCTGCTTCTATCACCAAACCGATAGCCGAATGCTCCCTCGGCCCCCCTCTGTCGATCCAGCTATTGACAATCCTACCCCATTTTCCCTTTGTTTTTCCGTGTCTGGGGGGTTTCTACTTTCTTTTTCCATCTATCTTCCCATTGGAACTTGCATTCTCATTTTCCCACGCCACTCGGGGGGCAATTTATGCACCGGCACTAATGGCTACACCAGCATGGTTTATATCGGCTCACTGTTTTTTCGTTCTATTGGCGGCGTCGCGCTCAAACCCCCTCGCTTGTTCACTCGACTAACGAGAGGGGGTGGCGGGGTGTCGGGCCGCTTGTCTGAGGTGGCTTGCATTTATTTGTTCAATGTTCAAAGTAGCTTGGCGTTGGTGGGACAGATTTGTATTGGTTGAAGGTATTGATCATGTGGCGGTGGGAAAGTGTCAGTATCCGACGGAGTTGATGTTCCCGTCGTCGGGCCCTCAGTAGTTCCCGAGGCCCTAAACTTTCCTAGTTAATCTCATCACATCAAGATACTCTTGCGCGTCATGCTCGATCCTACGGGCCCATTTCGCTTTCCCTTGCGTGGATCTACTGTGTGTCCCATCCATCTGCATGTGTGACCCGCGCCGGCCGGAAGACCTCCGCGAGAGTAGCCAGCAGTCCCAGTTCCGTTGAGCAGTGGAGGAAACAAGCCAGCCGCATGCGAGAACAAGCTATCCTATGCATCTCCCTCAGACAAGCGTCGCTAGCTGCCGCACACCCTCTTGCCTCCGAAGCCCCGGCAGCGACACCTTTAAGGGGGCGTGGGTGTGTTGCAATCGCTTCTCATAACCAAACAGGGAAAAGTAGAGAAAATAGTGAGGAGCAAGCAGCAACCGACCGAAGAAGAAGGGAAAAAAAAAAGAAAATATGTAAAACAATGAGATAAACGAAAGGAGGGTGGCCACGCGCCGCATGGCCATTCGTTTAACCCGCATCCACTGGGCCCGTGGTGTCGATATATCAAAAAAAGAAAGGGTTCCATCCGAAAAAAAAAAAGCGTGGACTTGCTCCGATTGGGCAGGGAAAAACCTCTTGCGTATTGCCAAGAGTTGTTCTATTGGGGATTTCCCGTTTTCTTTTCTTTTTTCTTGGCTCTCCCATGCAGTTAATTCCACTTCCGGGTTTGGTATTTCTTTTTTGAGAATGGTTTTTTAGGTTTCTTCCTGCATGGGAGCTCAAACGATGGCCGTTGCGTGGGCTTTGGGTCCCCCCCTTTCCCACCCTCGGCTACGGGATCAGCGAGGACACGCGGGAGACCGGATTCTGAGACATACATATGTGCGGGCGGCATTAGTGCCGCTCCCCTCGGGCACGAGGGTTGTCCAGCTAGTCGCGTCACCATACATGAACCTCGCGTACGGGCTCTCTTCTTGCCTGGGAAGGGTCGTGTACATATGCAGGCTGGGCGAGCGGGAGGGCTTCCCCGGTGCCGCCACTACTGGGTGGCCGGGAGTGTTGCCTGGAGGGGCAGGAGGGGTGAACGAAGCTGGAGGAGCGAAGGGGGGGAGGTACATATGCGGGGGGTGGTAATGTATCTGCATGCTCTTATGCATGTTTACATACATATAGGTGTGATCCTCTCGTTCGCTCCACTGGGTGACGGCCGACTGCATGAGTCGTGGCCCGGCAGGCACATACGCGGAGTGGTAATCGAGCGGAGACGGTTGGCGAAGTGAAGGGTATAGTGGAAGAGATACATGTGCGCAGCAACACATGGAGCACGTAGAATGTGATAGCGACAAGCAGATGTGGCCCCTGAAAGTGACCTGTTCTACTTACCTGCCTCTCCGCAAAACTTAATTACGGATAACCGAGCAAATGATGTAACTGGGCAAGATGATGAGCAGCTGATCTGGTAAGAGAATGGGGCCCCATTTGAGCTCATATTTCTAGTTCAGTATGGATAGACCAAGAGAAAGGAAGATGGTGTTGAGAAGAAAAAAAGAGTTCCGTGTAATACATCCCATCTGCAGATTTCCGCCACCAACCGACCTTATACATACTTTGTGGGGTTCTTTCCAACAGTCATGAGACTTAAAGAGCTCCATTTTTCTAAAGAGTAGGCGTGAGCAGTGATGTAGACCCCAGAACGCAAGAAATAGAAATAGGAAATGCCAAAGAAACACATAAACCAGGGAGAAAAGGCAGCAAATATCGTCCCATTTCAATGCCGAGCAGACAGGCATATACTCTAGAGATAGCGTCTCTAAGTACCCGTAGTTTGTAGTAGATGCCGCAAGCTTTGTATCGAAATGTCCCACTCTCGGGGGACGAAGCAGCCGCGACTTTCAGAATGAACGTCCACATTCGAGGCACGATCATTAAAACACTTGTAGTTCATAATCTCATTTCGTCCAATCGTGAGAATTCCATGCAGCATGGAATTGATAAATCAGGCAGATCTGCGGTTCGTGTTGCGAACGAAAATGACCAAAGACAAACACTTGAGGCCCAGAGCCAAAATCATGCTCCTTGGTCAAGTGTAAAACAGGGCAAGGAGGCTTGAAGATTCCAAATCACCAACCGCGGGGCTTAAAGTAAAGATTTTAAAACTGAAACAAGTCGGTCAGAGAATAAACAATTATTGTGTGGTTCCGCTTAGTCCGTAAAACAGAAAAAAAAGACTAGTGAGGGAAAATCAAAGAGCCACTCGTATTTTGATCACCAACGAACACCATTTTGGATTTGAAAGGAAACATTCGACGGAATAGACTCGAAACGTAGTCTAAAGCCATTCAAATGGGGTATCAACTATGATAATTGAGTGTGCCTTTCCATTATATGTTGATGAATGATTTCAGAAAATAAAATTGGTCGACGTAGAAAAGGCATTGGGGTTTTTGAGAGAAGGGACCTAAATCGCTTTGCGACGCAATTAGGCCTCCCGCCACATTTCTAGTATCTGCTCTTTGTGGTGGAAGGATGTATGACAATGGGAGCTCAAATTATTTCGTCTTTGAAGTGGCCTCGTGGCACCGAGTCTATTACCTCGGAAACACCTGGAAGTACTTGAAGTCCTCGACTATCATTAGGCATGTAGTTGTATGTCTGTTGCTGCCCAATCTGCCCTGAAGGTACGTCCCCAGATCGGTACACCTGACCGTGGGCTGCATCATATCCTGGTTGTGTCATCGTATCGACAAAAGATCCCCTCATGTAGGACGGGGGAGGCGTGGCAGGAACCGCAGTGACGAATGATGTTGACGGGCCGTTCTGTTTGTGCGAATAGACAGCTTGAGGATTGGATGCTGTACTTCCAGTTTGCCATTGCTGTGTATACATGCCATTGCTGACATGGTTGTACTCCCCGAACACTGAGGATCGACGACTCGAATCATTGGTGTTGCTATTCGGTATCATGTCGACGTTAATAGCTGTGTTCGGATGATGGGCAGGTGTTGTTCCATGGACCGGTAGGCCTTCCTCAACGAAGCCGTGGTGTGAGCTGGTCAAATCATTCACCATTGATGGAGGCGGCGGTGGGTTCTGGGTATTACGCATAGGCACCTCGTTGACGAACGAGCTTGTCTGAGATGCTGTAGTAGGGCTGTGGCCAGCAGGAGAAGTTGGATGAAAGCCTTGGGCAGCCGAGCGAGTTGAAGGTGATGTATTCTGTTCCTCGTGGTCACGGTTCGCTGGGACTTCCTCCTGTTCTGGTGTCTGAGTCTCTGAAATTCTATCGTCGTTCAGGACGTAAACCTCGGTAGCAGCGTCTGTTTTTGTTGTTAGAATCACCATAGAAAGGGAGACCAGGTAGGTTACCATACCGATTTCTCCATTCTTATACCTCTCCTGCTGCTTCGCCACCTTGAAGATCTCACCAAGAAATCGCTTTTTATTAGAATTTTGGGGGTTCTCGCTGAAGAAGCCAGAGAGAGCCTCATTCGTACACTCTTCTAGCTTCTTGACATTGAGATGAAGTTTCCGGACGTCAGGGTGTTGCTTCTCGGTCGGCTCCACTATGATAGCGAGAATGTGATTGAGAAGATGGACTCGTTCTAATAGGATGTCAGCTTGTCAGTGGATAATATGAGAGTTTCAAGTTTTCTTACCTCTTTTGTAAAGATGGTCAGGTTCTTTGTGCCTCACCCTGTCTTCCTTGGTATCTCCCCAAGGCTTCGGCCACCAGTCAGGAGCCTTTGCATCACTACCGGTGTATGGATGGGTAGATTGCTTCTTGGGTTCGACAGCTTTGACCCAAGCTTTTGCAATCAGCTTGCAGGCAGACTGCTGGCAGCTCTTGAAACGCTGATCGTAAAATCCCCACAGGGCTCTCTCGTCACAGACTCGGATTCCCCTCCTGGACATGATAGGCATGGGCATTTCTTCGTACTCTATGGTCTGGCGTGATCTTTGGCGCTTCCGACCCGGTCGTCCTGAATAGCTACCTCCGCCTTCACCGTCATCATCATTATGCGAACGGGTTCGATCACTTGTGTGGTGCCTATGGTTGTAAGGTGATCTGCTGAAATACATGGACCCTTCAGAGCTAGGGGGGTGACTCGTTGCTTGATCTAACACGGTAGATGTTAGCGAACGCTAAGGAGCAGCGACAAGGACTAATCTGGTTATTCACCTGTATCGAGAGAGGATGCCACTTGTTGAAACTTCTTGATATCAAAGAATTGCCGTACAACGCTGTCCTGCAACTTCTGGCCTGGGCTAAAGAATGTGGCTGGGGTTCCATCGTCCATGACTACCGCCACGAAGTACTGCTTAGCCCAGATACCGCAGTGAGAGCGAAGCGCAGTGTCGATGGCCTATTGTCATGATCAGAAGAGAACAGCCAGTCATGTTATTTCAATGCCTACCATGGGTGGTTGGTGTCGAACAGATTCTTGGGACTCATAGAAGCGCCTGTGGTCCATGATATCAGTTTGATATCGAGCCGGAGGTTGGCACGTG